ATGCGATTTTAATTGATACAGCCATTAGTCAGTCGTATTTAATGGTTCAACAAAGCTAACGCCCCTTTTCCCATTAATTTAATCTCTGTATTTCATCATTAATTCCTTTAATTTTAATTTCAATCTATATATTTCAAACAACTCAATATTGACTGCAAATATCTTGTAATCCGAATGATACGAAAGCTGTACCATAATTACATCGAGAAAATGTTTGATAATCATGGGCGCCGACTTTTATTTTTCCTAGGGGGGGTTCAAAATTTAAATAAAAAAAAATTAAAAAAATTAAAAGGTAGAGAAATTCCCTGTCGCTTTAATAACGTAATACAACATATGTAGTATGTATAATAACAAAACAAAACATTTAAATAAAGCAGATATAGCATCATGGTCTACAGTATCATCAGTTCAATTCTTTGATTAGTGTTTCTTCGATAGAATAAACGTGTTTTTTCGGACGGATGACCTCGAGATACAATTGTCTAGCAACTCATCAACTGGGATTTTTTCTACAATATCTTTATGGACGTTCATCAAAGCAACTGCGTTTACTCATTCTTGGGACATTCGCGATCTCAAGAACCTCCTGAGGCCAGTGAATGATCTCTCAGCAGTACAACTGGACACTGGTGAAGTCAATACAATTCTGAGCAGTTTCTTTATTTCTGGGATGATACTGCAGGCTGCTTTTTCCTCTTTGAGATAATCCACCACGGATTGGAAGTCTTCAATTCACGCTCTTGGGTCTTCGCTCTGTCCAGGAGCATGTCTCTGTGTAGTTGTAGTCTGACACAATCCAGATCATCGACATAATGCTCAGAAAAGTAGTCTGGGCTTATTTCTCTTCCCAGGATAAAGCCCTCAATCTTCTTGAAGTGAATAGCAGTTTCGTTGGGCTCAAATCGATCTGTGAGGCCAAACAAAACGCTGTCAAGCGAAAAGAAATACAGCTGCCTGTGTGCATCCTTTGCTGTTTGGGGGATAAAGGCAGACTGAGCATTTTCATCTAATCTCCGTGGCATTTTTCGCTGTCTTGGAAGTTGAGGCTCGTCAATACTTTCGTTTAGTTCAGCGGACGCTAAAATTGCTTGCCATAGAATTGAAAATCTGGCGTCTGTTCTTGCATCTGAAATGGATTGACGAATAGTCGAAATGACTTTCTCAGCTTTGCTGAAATTTAACTGTGTGCCTTGTAAACTTGCACTGCCTCCTTCAATTATGGTAAACACCATTCTTAGAATTTCTAGCAAGAAAAACGTGTCGAATTTCGTCAGTGATCTGAGATACCCTCCAGCTTTAACTCCGGCTGTATTTTTTTCTTTTTCATCCACTTCTTGAAGCCAATGAGGAATCCCCCTGTAATTACTTGTAATTGCCTGCAAAGAAACTAGTCGCATAGTCCATCGTGTAGGGCAAAGAGGGCGCAGGGATTTTTTTCATTTCCCGTGTCGTCATTTGAAAATGAGCACACCAGGCCAGGCGTTTGGGGGACCCACGAATGAATGCTATCAGATCTTGTATTAATGCCATAACATCTCTGATTTCTTTGCTGCTGCTCATAGCATCCTGAACTGCCAAGTTAAGTTTGTGTGCTCGACAATGCACGTATACAGCTCGTTTTTCGACTTCTTGCATTCTTGTCCGAAGACCACCAACACATCCTGACATATTAGCGGCTCCGTCGTAGCATTGATCACGGCATTGATGAATCGGAAATTGCATCCGTACAAGAATGTCTTTCATTATAGTGAAAATTTTTTCGCTTGAAGTGATTTCAGTAGCGTAAAAACCAAAAAACAGCTCTTCGATGTTGAAGTTATCATCCACAATTCGGAAGCAAAAACTTATCTGTTCCTTGTTAGAGACATCTGAGGTTTCATCCAGCATAATACCAAAATATTTCACATCTTTCACTTTCTTCGCCAGCTCTCTTAGCACAGCCTTGCTGAAGTCTTGTAGAATTTCATTAGAAACATCGTGAGAAAGCCATTTATACTTCTCGTCTCTTTTAAGCCATGCAGCTAATTCAGGCACATCATTTTTTCTTTCCTGTAACAGGGTTATTGAGTTCGAGTCTTTCTCGTTTTTTCCTCTTATAGCTTGCCCTTGGCATCCAAGATAACGCAAACTTGTGAAAATTGTACACAAAGCCTTTCTGTATTTTAGCATTTGCTCCCCTCTTCCAGAAAATATCATTGTTTCAACTGTTACGTTGGCATCGCTGCTGCTGTGCTACCGTGGGAATCGGCATTCCCTGACTTATTGCTGAAGTGCACAAGTTGCAAAACACTTTATCCTTGTCACTCTTGTATTCCAGCCATTTATACTTTGCTGACCATTAAGACTGGAATTTCCTTCCCTTTGCTTTCTTGCCCAAACTATCTTGCATGTTTTCCACTTCAGAGTCAATGTTCGAAATCTGGTCTTGTTTTGAACACGAAGGGCCAACATCTTGTTTCATGATTTCGAAACTTGGCTCTCTGGAGGCTTTTGTTGCGAAATAGGAATGTCTTCTTTCTTTTTATTCACCCTCACAACAAATTTGTCCATCTTGAAAAGCAGGTACGATCAAATGCTCAATGAGAGCTATTAAATTCGAGTTTTCATCTAAAGTAGGGATGTCATTTTTTATAAATTATTGGTTATGGTTTCCTGCCTTTGATCAGTTTGACCTTCAAGACGCCGTTCGATTTCCGCAATAGACAAGTTAGAATATCAACAGATGACGTAGGAGACAGAAAGTTTAGACTAAATTTTTTACAAGGGATTTTTTTGATTCAAATTATTCTTTAACAATAGATAAATTTCACATTTTTGAGACTTAGAATATACATATACCTTCCTTCAGCTGTTCTGCGCTGAATTTTCAGCCCAGTGGCGGATTTCAAACGAAATTCCCAGGGGAGGCTGAGCCCCCCCATCCCCATAGCAATTCCCAGGGGAGGCTCGAGCCCCCTAGCCCCCATGTAGTCGGCGCCTGTATTGTTTCTATCTGTAAAACCCGCAGCTACTGTCCCCAATTAGTTTTAGAATAACTGATAAGTGGTTTTCTAGATTTCAAAGGCCACAATGCCCCCCCCCCTCTGCCCAGACTAGTAGTTTGTCTCGGAGCAACCAGAAGCTCGTTAACAACGACTCAGACATTCGGTCTCGCCTTTGCCACCTGGTTTGTTCAGCTTGACACGTTTGTTGTTTTGTGTCTTTCCCATTTGCCTATTAATAATTGAAAGCTCACTGCAGCAGTCCATCAGGTTTAGTCTTGTTTCTTCAAGTTTCTATTACATGTTTCCTTGGCTGATTTCAACGATCTCTTTGATTCAGGTTTTCAGTGGAGAAAAATGGATATTTTCCAAGGACGAAATTTCACATTTTAATCAGAGGGTCGTGATTGCTTGTAAACAGTGCAGCCCTGTTTGGAATTAGCAAAGAACTTCGATTGAATTGAAGTCAGTGATCGATTTTAATTCACAATCCTTTCCTTCCACTAATAGTTGGTTAAGATCCTCATCTTCTATGTCAGTGTTTTGTGACGACATAGAATCTTGCTTGGTTGGTGAGCAGAGAACAAAGCAACTCTCTCGAAGTATGATTTTGAAAGTAGCTAGCTTTAATCGTACTTGTAAGAGAAAGCTTGAACCAGCAAAACTTCTGGCGAGATATCAATTCTTTAAACACGACTTAAAAAGGAACAAACATCATTTTCTGAAGAATATAAATCTTTTAAAACCGTTTTATTGCTGCCCTAGTGTAAAGCTCTGGCCAAACGAGCCAACATTTCGCCCAACATTTAACCCAACATCTTTCCCAACAATGTTGGGAGTTGTTAGGAACGCTGGCCAAACGATCCAACAATTCACCCAACATTTAGCACAACCGTTTTTGGGATACTCGGATTGAGTCCAAGACAACCTAAGCCTGCCATCTCTGATCTTGAAAGCAACGCTTTTCTTTTCCCCAAACCCCTATTAATCTCCTTTACGGCCTCGTCGTACTAATCTTTACTCACTAAATCTCTTTCTTCGTACTCTTCCATTATCCAATATTCTTCAGTCGTCCAAATCTATTCTACGCTCTTCATCTTAAAATTTTGATCTCTGCTTCACGAACTCGAGCTTGGCGCGCAGCGCTATTCACTTTTAAAAATTGTTTACAGCGCTTGCGTGAAGCCAACAAATGTTGGGCAACCCGGCCAAACGAGCCAACAACGCAAAACAGCACCTTGAACAATAGGGATTATTTTAATTACCATCCAACAGCCGCCAACATTTTTGACCAGTTTCAAATCGATCCAACAATTCAGCCAACATCTTTCCCAACAATGTTGGGTGACCCAACATGGTGGCCAAACGACCCAACATTTGAGCCAACATGCGAAAAAAGCGTGTTGGCTGAAATGTTGGGTGAAATGTTGGCTCGTTTGGCCGGGGCTTAATAAACAGTGTTTGCTTGAGTTATGACAAAACAATGTGTGCAGAACAAATATAGTTTAAATTGATTTTGTTAAGTCTTTTTATCTGATTTTGTGAAACCAGAAAATGTATTTTCTTCGTTCCGTCGATGCTGTAGAAATTGTATGAGCTATGAAAGGTTTGAGCACCATTTAACCTATAGGAAATAGAATCGTAACAATCGTTGCTACTATCGTCAAAACATGTAGCCAGAATTCTTGAAGTTAAGTTTTGATGCGCAGGGAGGGGAAGAAATTGTGGCAACTGTTTTGATGTCTTGAGCAGGAGTTAAAGCCCTGCATGGTTTGATTGTAAATTGACATCTTGCCGTGTTCCATATATGTTGTATGCAGTACTCAGTGGTGATAGGTTCACGAAAGAAATGCTTTCTTAATTTTTTTAGACAAGCACAGTTAATTACTGCATATAAAAATCTTGAAAGAAAACCTTCCAGCTGTTCTTAAAATGTATACAGATCTTTAACAGCAAGGTAAAATCAGGACACAAAGTGTAAGTTCTGCATATTAAGCACGTTATTTCATATCCTGTATTTCTGTCAATGTTCTAAGTTTAGAATTTGTTAATAAATGAAAAAAGCATAGCCAAAAGCAGTTATTGACTATTTAATAGGATAGGCACCCTTTGAATAGGAACCTAAACTGAACCCTTCCACGTGATAATCTGGAAGCTCGAATATGTGGAGACTTTTAAATCATGTTTTAGATAAGTGCTTATGTGGTCGTGGTTTTTGTTACGTTGGAAAATTATTGGTTAATGACCTCTGTGTTCCTTATTGATGTCAAACCGCTACTTCACCTAGAGTCCTAACTTTCAACATTTTTCACAAAACTGTATCGTTTTGATAAAATCACTTCTCGATCTCTCATTTTTTACTGTATGTGCTCCCATTTTCAGTGGTAGCATTAAACGAAGCTTTTCTCGACGTTAAGACTCAAGCAAGAGTGTACTCTGTTTTTTTTGCGTCATCTTCATCACCATAGGTACAGCTCAAGTCGCTTTTGGCATATTCAGTCCCATACCTCCACAAGGGGTAATGGCTGGTGTTGTCGTAAGCCCGGCCTCTCTCTGATATCTGTAAATGTTCAAAGAATTGCCAACAATGTATATTTCTATATCTATTTTCCTTCTTTTTGGAAAATAATGATTGTTGATGTTAAATTTCTCGAGGAATAAAGAAGCTATTTCATCAATTTCATGGCTTAATGAAGTATCTCAAAGACTATTCGTTTAAGAACTCGTGTATCTACCGAACCCATGGTGCTTTGCCGAATCTAACAGTCCCCCCCCCCTCAATCTAGGGCACACCTCCCATTAGCAGTTTTAAGCAGCGGTTTTTGTCCGGGGGTTGCCTACTTGTATCCCGTACGTTAACTCAATATCTCAAAATCACGTGTGAAACTTCAGCAGTCGTGTTCTCATAACAAGAAATGTGCTAAGTGGCAAGTATTTGAAATAAATTGTGACAAATTTCAAACCTGTTTGATGAATAATGTAAATAGCTTACGTAAGCAGCAAAAACTGATTTATTTTGAAAAAGGCATGATCAAGAGTCGCGCCTTGTTTGTAACAACTTGTTTAAGGTAGTTATTGTTCCATTGACAATATCCAGAACAAAGGCCGCAAGTGCTTTGTTAGAACAGTCAGGCGATAGATCTACTCCGCAGTTTTCTGGCTTTATACTGTTTTGATTGATTCATACTCCAAAACTGAGCGATTCATGACAAAATGGTAGATGTTCCTGATGCACGACAACTCAAAAGCCCAGATATACCAGAATACAAGGTTTGACGGCGTTAATTTGCTGCGTTAACAGAATTTGTTATTTTGTCGTAATAGTGATCCTTTATATCACGCTGGCCACAATATTGAGGTTTTGTAGTTACACATGCAAGAATCTACCCTCTGTAAAACAATTGTTCACTAAATTGGAAGATAGGTTTTTGCTACAGTAGTGAGTAGGCCGAAGAGTTGAGAATAAATCATGCAGTTGCTAAAAGACCCGTAATGGGTTTTTACAGGTTTAACTCTTTTGTTAGGCAAATTCAGAACCTTAAGAGTCAGCCCAGTTGTCGTGCCCAGTTGTCATTGCAAATAATCAGCTATTAATAGGCTTTTCTAAGATAAAAGTATTACACAGATTTATATAGCAACGACAGCATTTAGATCAATTTGTTATTTTTAGTTTCTTAGCAGTTTTTTTCACTTTAGACAATGGCCGTTCTTTAGACAAATAAAAACTCTTCAACTCTGAAATATTTCGGGAAATGTTTATGAATTGTAGCTTTAATTTCATCCCATCGTTTACTATATAGGTGTATTTATTGTACTAAACTTAACTTGGTACGAGCTAGTCTTAACCTTGAACCCCCGTCTCAGCCGTTTATCGGTGAGTCTGGTGGAGTTTGGTGAGTCTTGTCGCATTCGGAAATTTCATCTTCCACTAAAGTTAGATTAATCTTCCCATTTAGCTCCTTGCTACTTTTTACTTCAAACTGCAGTGATTGATTACTCGTTCTTAAAGTTGTTATTATTGCTTTAAATCGAATAGGTATGTCGAATGTGTGAAAGTTAAAAACCTATAATTGCTTTACTGTATGCCTAAAAATCCCAACCAGATTCAGTATAAAAAGGCACGGATAGTGACCAAACCTATTGCAGAAGTAGTCACTGAACTAAAACAACATCGAACACCAATAAGATACCAGAAAGTTAGATCAGTGAGTGGCCTCTCCAAGACAGTTCAAAATGGAAATTCATGCATTGGATCGGTCTTCAATTCGTAATATTCTCCAACAGATTTCCAATGTATTTGAAGTCAGACTGTTAATAAAGTTGCTTTTTGGATGTGAATTTGTGATGTGCTACTAGCAGTGGTTGATTCAAATGCCAAATAAATTAAGAATAAAAAGAGGACTGTCAAATGATATCACTGCAATAGGCTGTCATGTCTACAATCCCAGCAAGTTGATATTTTCTCTTTCATTTGAAAACTAACTTTCCTTCTCCCCTCAATTCAATTGTTGAATGCATAATTTTAAAGGGGAATGATACAACTACAAATCCAAAATTTATTTGGGGGAAAGGGGGATTCAAATTTACATTGGCAACGTAAAGTAGAAAATTGTGATATTTGCATTTTGTCTCAACAATTTTGTCTGGGATTGTAGTTCTCTTTTATCCATGAAATTAGCTGATTTATCGCGTATTGATTTGATACCTCTGCAATCAACTATTAAACCTCGAATCAACAGTTACCAATTCAATCAACTGATTAATCCTGAATCAACAGTTTAATCAACTGATATCACTTTGATATTGTATGCTTATGCTTAATCAACGCAAATCACTGCAATCGATACCGGCCATTGTTATCAACTGAAATGAATATTTTGATATGATTAAAACTGCAATTATTTCCATTAAATAAGGATGGAAGATGATATTCGCCCACATATTAAATCTCACACACCCAAATATTGTTTTTAATGAGAAAGTAAACAATATGCAGGTGTTCCATTCGTTTTTAACGTATCATCGATGCCTTTTGTACTGTCTTTTGTACTGTCTTTAATAGAATACCCGCATCCTATCGCCAACCCGCGAAACGACCTATTGATATAATACGCCGCTAAATAAACGATGTGTTTGTCATCAGTTTTCTAATAGTTTAAGAGAATTTGGGCAAATGTGAAAGTGCTTGACTGTTGTCTAGAAAGGTTGGAAAGCAGAGCCATTCTGAACGTTGGACACCACCAATTATTTCCAAATCCGGACTCACTATTTCAATTCCAGGAGTTTTAAATCTATCAAAAAATAAAATGTTGACATCGAAGCAGCTGTTCTGAAAACGTTACTAAGACTTTAGTTGCATGTACATCTGTATGTTAATATCGTCGATTTTACGTTGCAGACACTTAAATTGTTTATAGTAGGCGCAACGTGGTTGCAAACAAAACATGTCGTTAAAGTGAGTTCCAAATGTACCCCGTTGTGTTATATTAGTTGTTGTTGCTGCTGTTGTTGTTGTTGTAATCGACCACTGATTCGACACTCCAGAGCTTGCACCACTAATCCTAAACAGGAGGGGCCAGCAATGTAAAGAAAGTTCCCCCCCCCCTTAGTCCCAGTTGTGGCAATCATTTGCTGACGTTGTTTTACTTCTGGGCTTTGGCTCACTGTATTTGTTGTAATCCAAAGTTTTCTCTATAAAATACTTTGAGCTTATTTTATTCCTTTATTTAGCGAGAAAGTGGGAGGCCATAGCCCGCTTGTCCCCCTGTGGCGCGGGCCATGTACTCTCACTGTTGTATTCTAGTCTGCTAAATGGAAGAAGGAGATTTAGAATAGTGAAGCGATGGAATAGCTATTACCACCGCTTATCTAAAAATTATTCAAATAGGCACTAGCTAAAAGTAGGAAAGTGCATCACTCCTTCGTTAGCAATGCAGTTTTAAAAGAATTATTAGCAAAATTATACGCTAATATACAACCTATGTTTCAATTTTTCATGATAGTTAAATATTTTGATGTGTTTGCTTAACATTTCAAAGTACATCGTCTCTTATCATTTTATCCTAATGTCAGCGTTGGATTACTGCATATATGCGCCTCCAGCAGATTACAAAATCGCTGGATTCAGAATATAAGTGCTTCGCTCCTACATCGCTTTGCAATAGAGGGTATAGACAAGAATGAAATGTATTCTGCGTAAGCAAGCGCGGTATGGCGCGGGAATGTGCGAATCTATTGCATGACATGAAGTATAATTGATATTGCTTTACTATTAGTAATAATTGAAGTCATTTCTAGTGTCGGTGAAATATCCTTCTTACCCACAGTTTTTTTTAATTTCAGGTGATGCTTATTGGCGACAGCGGAGTTGGCAAAACTTGCGTTCTTGTTAGATTTAAAGATGGTGCCTTTCTCAGCGGCAGCTTCATTTCGACAGTTGGAATCGATTTTAAAGTAAAGCCCTATATTTATAGTTATGTTTTTGTTCTTTGCATGGCTTTTTAAACTTTATATGGATCACTAGACCAGCCGATGGGACCAGCCTTGACATTCACGTCACCTAAAGAGACATAGCAATGAAGTATGGTTGAGCTAGCAGCTCATTGTGTTTGCTAAACTCCATAAAGCAGGCTCCGCAATGCTTTTCTCGGATCTGAAGTTTCGTATATTTTCCGTTGACTTTTCCTTTGGTAACACCGCGTTGTTATCCACTTTTCTGTTTTTTTTTTTAGAATAAACTTCTGGTTTTAGATGGTTCCAAAATCAAATTACAGGTAAGTAATTTAAAAATACTTAGATTGGATACATACGGAAAGCATATAATGTTTCACTATGTCCAATAGCATTTCCTTGCATTGGCCAAAGTGACAACCAGATCGTCAACATAAATGTCACGCTAATAGAAAGGGAATCCTCTCACACATGCGCCTTAGTTGAAGTCTGAGGCATTTTTAAGCTCACATTTCATCATTAGTTTCAAAATTTAAAAAAGAAACATTTTTTAGCAATGCAAATTTTTGATACAAACATCAGCTACTGCAATTATCATTGCTTCTTTCCAATCTGTTTTTAAGGTTATGCATTCATTCCAGACTCGATTCACAGTGATAAAAACTATAAATTTATCCTCTCAAAATAAGAGAAATAATGATGCCATTTGTCTTTTGTTTAATTTTTGGGATTATAACAATCGTTGAAATGTTGAATATTAAGAAATATGAATTTTTTATAGATTTGGGATACAGCTGGCCAAGAACGATTTAGAAGCATAACCCATGCGTATTACAGGGATGCTCACGGTGAGCGTTCTATTTGATAATATAAACATACTATGTTATTGCATTAATATAGTCAAGTCACAACATCATGCATAGGATGTACAACCTTTTGGTGTACTTGGAGTATGTGCAGTTCTCTAAAAACAATATTGAATTGCGTCGTCGATCATGTGAATATTGCTCCGTGAAAATTATAGTTTTGTATTTTTAACCGAGGCTGATATTACCTTAAAACGAGGTTCCATATGGTAATATCTTTGTTTTAGCGCTATTGACTAAATAAGTTGTGCTGATAACGGAAGTTGCCATAGAATCTTGGTCAGACTAACATGTTCGTTTTTTTCTTCAAACTCTGTCTAACGGAATTAGATCTAGTTGGACAGTTAGTGAAATGAAGACGTTGTGTTAGTGACCCTTTTATAATCATGAAATGAACTCTCGTCCTAAACTAGATTCTTTCTTTAGACGCAAAAAACTGCCGTTGAACCCGAATTTTTAAACCTTGGATCCACAAAAATGATTTGCCAATCGAAATAGCGTCACTTTTTTATCGCGATCAATGAAACGAAGTTCCTAAAATAGCGGACAAGAAATAATCTTAACACCAGTTGAACAGTTTGTCTAGTACAAGAAAGTTGTGACGGATTAGCCCTGTCCTTTGCTTTGTTTGATACAATTTGGGCTAAGCGCAACCAAAGTACAGCGATGATAGTTAACAAGTAACATTTAGATGCAAAAACGTGGTGGATAATTATACTTGCTGAGTTACATAAATTTCGAATTATCTAGATTAACATTCCATTTTCAAGTAATCTATTCACTGCAAAAAGTTTTATTATTGACTTTGCACCCAGTCTCTGTAAAGCTTGAGACCGACCTCTTTTCTTTTATAATCTTAACTGTTAAAAGATAAGACCCTCTTTGACTTAGTTTACTCGGCCTTGGATATATTGTTTTAGAAAATTTGATTTAAGGCAATATTCTCATATGCGAAAATTTTCTCGATCAGCTCAAGTGTTTCTTGGATTTACTATACCTTAGCCTTTTGTTTTTTTAAGTAAATATTTGAAATTTTAAAGTGAGCATCAATCATTGTTTCTTTTGTCGTCAAATAGCCATTTTGATTTGTATCTAGTAATCACGAGTTTATTTCCCTTATTTTGCGGCAGCCTTGCTTCTTCTTTATGATGTGAGCAGCAGGAAGTCATTCGAAAATTCAAGGGTGAGTTTTGACCCAAAAAGTCTTCTTAGTATCATGCTATGATTTTTCCACGCATATTTTATCGTATCCTTTTGTGTTAAAGAATAGCGATTGAGCGCTCGCAAATCACTGTATTGATCAGCCCTAGTTGCGTTTTACTTTCCCAAACCCCTGTGGTTTATGACGTCAGTGGCTTGCTGGATTTGCTGATTTATATCACGTGTCACCCTGCTGTTTGTTATTTCTCTTGGATATCCAAGTGCTACCAAAAATCAGAAATTCAATTACAGTGAATGATGATATGTTTAACAAGAGAAACATGATGATATATGATATAGACAACGCATAAAGATAAAATGTTGGTAACCCTGAGCTAAGGGAACTGCAAAAAATTCAGGGAAACATTATGCGAACGACGGCTGCCATTTACATGGAAAATAAATACAAATTAAGCAAGCTGGAACAATATCAACTTTTTTCGAAAAAATGCAACTTTTTTTAATTGATATTTTGACGGATGACCTCCAAATTTCTATACAGCTGTCATTGACCGTGGAATTTATAGCAGAAACTCTCAACGAAATATTTTCGTGTACAGAACGAAATCTAAAAAATTTTTTGAAGGAGATTGTTTTTGTTCCTGGAAAACTGCAATTCCTTGGTTTTTTACGAAGAACGAGTTTTTTCAATAACATTAAGGCTCTGACTTTGAGGGGGCCAAAGATGGACGACGATACAAATGTTATGAAATAAATTGTCTTTCCGTTAACAGAGAGTTAACTAGGATTAGCAATTTTTGCTGGCGCAGTTTCTAGATTTCCACCACAACTGCCAGATTTGCTCGAGCAATGTTAGAATATTAGTTTTGAAACCCCCATACTTTAATTCTTCGTCGTAATGCATTTGTCACTCAAGTGTCTACAAATGCATTTCCAAGTTTCTACAAGAAAAAACTTATAGCTGAAAGAAGTAACAAAGGCTTGACATCATTGTATCCCAGATATCTTTGATTAAACCATATAACTATCCGATACGATATATTTTATTGATCTTGAATCTTTCAATATGCCCATTATGCTCAAGATAATAAATGTGAACGAAAAAAAACATTTTTCGGAACATGCCTGCGTTTGAAATTTATGCCGACCAGTAGCAGTCCCTACATCCAGACTTTCTCGAGCCGATTTTGGTGTACCTGCCACCATGTGTCTCTCCTGAACAGAGAATATCCAGCTTTAGCAATCTGAATCTTGTATATCTCCATCATGACTTGATAGCCTACTTTTTTTACCTTTCAATATACAGGCATGGCTATCAGAAATACAAGAATATGCAACCGGAGAAGTGGTTGTAATGCTTCTTGGAAATAAGGTAACGCTTCCTGGAAACTGAAAGCATTTTACTTGTATGGTACAATTTTTTCTTGACTGGAAGTATGTTGGGAACGATGATTATAATGATGCACTGCACAATAGAGTGGAACACCTATTGGTGCTGTCATGAATTATTTTCATGTTTTTAGATATTGAGCATGCAAACTTATGATAAAGTAAATGATTATATATTGAAAATATATTCTTATGATATGGTAAATAATATGATACGATTGAATTGAATAATCTCATTGTTATAGCGTCAATATACAAAACTACTTCTTTGTTTTTCTTTTTTGTCTCGGCAAATCTTCAAATAAGGTCAGATTTTGTTCTAAATTGGGTGAATTATTTATATTTTTCGTTATTTTAGGCTGACTTAGCAAAAGAAAAGGTGGTCAAAAGAGAAGAGGGTGCGAAATTAGCCAAGGTAAACCTGATTAAATAAATTTTTCGAGATTTTTGTACTTTTGCTGAAGCAGTTTTAAACTTGTTGCTTAATGATCCTGTGTCGAATTTGTGTGCTGTATGTTTGGGTGGATTTTTCTATGTTTGAAGCTATGTAAACACTCTACAAATGTCCTGTATTATCTGTTAATTTTATGATATTTGGCATTTATGTAGATGCACTAATAGACAAAAGATGCGCCCAGGTCGTGCATGTAAAATGAAAATGTGTTGTCACTTTTCGATCATAAAATGAAGACTTCAAACGATCTAAAATAAAAATGGATGGATTTTCATTGTAGTTAATTACATTTATGTTTATTTTCAAGGACTTCCAAGTGCCGTTTTTAGAAACAAGTGCGAAGTCGGGGATGAATATCGAATTGGCGTTTGAAGCAGCAGCTAGGTATGTATTCGTTGACTGTCACATGACACATTTGCTTCTATATAGTATTGCGTTTGCCAGGTGAACATGGGTTTGCCAAGTGAATGAAAGAAAAAAGAAGCAAGTTGCCGTATTAAAGGCTCTACTTTCGTGTTTTAAATTAATGCCCCCGCAGTTTCACGCTCCGCAAAAGACATTGGCATTTATCTGTATTAAATATATCATATGAGATTGCGCTTTGGTTTGTAGGGGTGCAAGGCTCACAGTAGCTAAGATAAGGAAACGATGGAAATTGGGCAACTAGGGTAGGGAACGGTTAAAATAAAACAAGGAGATGAGATTACTTGTCAAAATTTTATTCCGATGATATTTTTGTTGCTTAACAATAAAAAATTGCTTTGCTAGAAAAGGTGGAAGATGAAAATCGGTTTTGCTACCTTTGCTTTGACATGGAATTGCTTTTCGGGTCTAGATTTATCAACTCGCATTCTTGGCAGTTTTTTTGGATTTTGTACATTTGTTGATAGTTTTCTGGGAGTCATTTTGAAAATGGCTGACGTTTTGAACCCTTATATTTGCCATTTGAATATGTAAATGCGACCTTCGTTCTGGAGTATGACGTAAACTTGAGTATAACTGACCTTGTTCTGTAAGGCTTTCTATGAAATCGTATATCTTTTATTGTAGAGAACTCGTCAAGAAACAAGGCAGTGAATCAAATGTGAAGAAATTCGACATTTCAACATATGTTTTGGATAAAGAACAAAAACCTGGTTGCTGTGGAGGATCATAGCGCAACACATGTGACGTATATTTCAAAAAAGGTTCTCAACACTCACAGATGTCAAATTTGGTAAACGGTTCAATTGTTCAGAGGGATAACGAAGCTTCATTTTGTAGTGACCGCTGCAATCAACATTTGTTCCTGTTGGAGTCACATTTGAGATCTAAATCCTTGTTTATGGATTTTTTGATGCGGTGAAAGGTTTAAATTGCAATTGCTTACAAACAAGTTTCAATTATCACTAGAAAGACTCCATTATCTAGATCATCCTGATGGTCTCGAATTTCTCCTTGAGGACAACATTAGCATCGAAGATCCCGAGTACATGCTTATTAAATTCCAGCACAAAGTGAAATTTCTAGACAAATCCCACTTCCTGTTCTTCCGACCCAAATCATCCCTGTTTGGCATAATGCTTCATGTCACAATTGCAGGTGAAACCTTTACTGCTATGTTTAAAAATCCTAAGTTAATTCTAGGGCACATGCCTACCTGGATTGTAAATACGCTTCTGGTAAAGGAGAAGAAATGCTTGTTCAATAGTTAGATTTTAGCCAAGCAGGAAAACCTATATTTCATACAGAATCTTCAATTTTCTTACAAGTTTCAGGACCATTGTTGTGAGCCTAAAATGATCTTTCTTTGCAATTTTACCATAGTCTTTTCCAAGGGAAATTGACTGCCGGGGCAAACCTTTATTTGTATAAAGAAGGGGACAAAGCCTATTGTTTAAAACTATGAAAAGCCACTTGGGCTGTAGGAGAAATGACCCCCCTAGTTAGTATGTTAAAAAAGGCCCTGGTATTTTCTATAAAAATTTGCTCTATACAAAATTGCACAATGATTTAGCTCCAAGTCTTTCTGGCAAGGCATGAAGCAACCAATTTAATCTGATCTCAAACAACGTTAATAGCTGTTCGTTTAGAATGCTCCATTGAATACACAAGTTTCTAATGTTTACCATTTATCACAATAGGGACTCGTTAATCTTGAAAGGTTTGCATGTTTTTTCACCTTTTGCTGTTTATTTTTGGCTTCCCATAAAATTGGCTTCCCTATATTCGAACTAATCTCAAACGAAACCTTGCTTCAATTCAAAGATTTGCTGACTGCATCTTATTCTTCCCATACATTGTTTTATTGATACTACTGTCATACCTTGTAATATCATCACTCTTAGAGCTAAGTCTTAGAGTGAATGCTATTACAGACTTGGCTGGACATAGAAGATATCATATCTTTTTTATACATAGGCACGATATGTTGCACATCAGATAATACAGTACTCTCTGCAGTATTTTTTGAAATTTATTATAATTTAAAAAATCTGTTAAAATTGTTATTACACAAATAGTTAGGAGCAGTCGCTCATTATGTTAATTCTTATATACAGCTTAAGTTCAGAGAATAATTATTCATGAGGAGAGACGTCATAGAAATGGTATCATTGTGTAGCTGTATTGTGAATAAAACCCTGTCTGCAACAAAATTCATTATAGTTTTTCATGCTTATACGTATATTTTTTGGGGATGTTATTTATTGATAATGCAATTTGTAGTTTAGTGAATTGAGTAGTTCCATACAACCTGTACATGGTGTGTGTTTTAAATCTAAAGGTATTGCAATTTTCATAAATCATTTAAAGAGCAATTTTTAGGTTGAAGTGCTGCATTCGAACCTTTACAGTTTTGATCACATCATTGAATTGGATCGTTGAACAACGTGGTTTAGAAGCTGTGCTGCAAGGTACCAATCTAAAGCTGACAGTCAAGCCACTTTTCCAAAGGAAAGTCGATGAAAAGCAGGGAAAATGAAACACCTTGCATGCTTAGAGCCCTCACTCTTATAGCCTTCATTAGGCTGTATTTAGTTTTTCTCTTTAGAAGATTACCGAAAATCCTCGAATTAGCCCTCTAACGCAGCGGTGGGCAACCTTCCACCTGCGGGCCAAAATCCAACCCGGGAAGAGAATTTATGTGGCCCGCAAAATAATAAAATCTTAAAGTTTCTTTTATTGTTGGCAAGATTGATTTTCCGAGCGGTCGCAAGCATTGAATGAAGTTATATTGATTAAAATGAGATTATCTTCGTCAAACCTGAGAATCACGGAAAGATTTGTTTCACTATCGATTGTGACGAATTCATCCTGCTTGAATACCCGATAGCAGAATCTTTGAGGGACTGGGCGAAAGTTAACAAATGCAGCAAGAACGAATTTTGCTGTGTGCACTGCAAAGCTGTAGAGCGCCCATTGTTAGAGAAAACAAGAATCACATTCGTCGCGATCTTTCATGTCTCAGTTGCTACTGGATAAACTGGATAAATTGGATGGAGACAACTACTGTTTTGAATGGGGGCTTATTCGAGAGTGGTCTATACAAGGGTGGGGGTGCTGTGCTTGTGAAAATCGTCTCCAGGTTATCATACCAATAGCTAGTTTTGTAGCTTCTTAGCAATCTCGGGTTCGTTTCATTTGCAACTTTATTTAACAAATTTTCTTTAATATCAAAACCAAAGTATAAATAAAAACATAATATATTAATTATGGACTAAAGCGGCGAATTTTCTGATTTATCCGATTTATCCCAAGAGGCTTGTTTAATGGCAAAAACTATTAGCAATTTTTGCTCCCAGGTGCGTGCTTATTCTCGGGGGGGGGGGGCTTAAATGAGGGCGTCAGTTTGAGGATGCAATCATTAAATAATTATTTTGCAAATTTCTAGTAACTTAGCAGCAGACAGTTCGGAGTTTTGAGGCAGAAGCAAGTCACCGAACCCCAATCTGCAACTCTTCTCAGAATTAACCACGAAGCTGCAAGACCTTCAAAAAATTACGATTTATTCTGCTATCCTTCAAGTTTTAATTTCTTTTTTGACATAAACGCGTGCTAAACAAGGGCGTTTTTCTTGAGTGGCAGATCACTTCGCGAAAACCTCGTACTCCTTTGGCAAAAATCTTTTTTTGTCAAGGAAGATCTCAAAAATTCATGAAAATCAGGGCCGTCGTTAAACACTTTTAGTCACCAATTTGCAGAAAAAATAGGGGGTGGCCTAAAATATATCCATTTTGAGTGTGGGATTTTGACGCATTTGATTTTATTTATCAAAGGGTATGTTCTCAGCAGTCAATCATCGCTCCGATTTTCGTGTTGTAATTTTCTTTACAAGAGTACCTGAGGGTACTTTCTTTGATTTTCCTCTAGAAATCAAGTTTTGAGCAACAAGATACCCTCAGTACAAAAAGTTATTCAAAAAGAACGTTTGAATTGAACCCTAGTTTGTATGAACAGATCTTACATGCAGGGCCGCTGAGAGGTTTCGGAGGCCTTGGAGCAAAGCCGAAAGTCGAGGCCCCCTGCGAGCGAAGCGAGCAGAATTTATTTTTGCAACCATGCCCTTTAGATTATATTGAAATGCATTACAGAATATTACTTGCAGTCATTTCTTGCAATCGTTTAGAATGTTTTAATCTTTTTAGGCATACTTTTGCTATGTTTCATTGATTTCATTCTCAAAATGGAATTCATTACTTTATGAGGCCTCCTACACCTCAAGGCCCTGAGGCACTTAACCCCCTAGCCCCTCCTCTCGGCGGCCCTGCTCACAGGGCAGGGGCGGATCCAGAGGGGTGCGAAAGGGGCTCGAGCACCCCTCAGATTTGAGGAAAAACTTTTTGGGGATTAAAGCTTATTTTATCGCAGTTTTGTTTATAATTATTTAAACCATTTATTATCTCTTTTACCGAGAAGTATGCACATCTCCTGAAATTGTTATATCCGCTTCAATGCCCCGTCTCACAACTGTTCAACATTGTTATTTCAGTCCATGCATTGAAGTGTTATCAAACTCCCCCTGGTTGTACTGTATAGCATTCTACAGACTCGGAAAGCATTGTCTCCTCTTATAACCAGCCACTTGAGGAACCCGTGGCCTGTAAATTATACGATTTTCTGCACCCGTGGAAGTGAATCTAGCCAATCACGGTGCCAGGTCGAGGGGTTCTAAACTTTGGCGCGAGAACCCATGGATTTCAAAATCCAAAACATCAAAGAATACCGACCAAACCAGGGGGAGTTTCTTCGCTTCAATCTACAGTCAAATGTATAGTGGTTTTATGACCAGGGGGAGTTAAGCTTGAACAGGGGGAGTTGAGGTTGACCAGGGGGAGTTGAATTATGATACAGCACGCGACGAATGCTTAGGTGAAGTGCAAATTTGCAATATGTTTTCGTAGGTCTTTTGACGATCTTTACCTGGTGCTCGATGCTGTAACGGCAGAACTTGTAAACGCTTTGGTTTATATAACAGAACGGTTTCAAGTTTCAACTCCGTGTTTCACGTCTTATTCATAGACCATGAGGTATGATTTATATTCAGAGGATAAAGCTTGCCCGAGCCCTTGTTATTCTTTTGTTAATCATTCAAGAACTACATACAAAACATCTCAAAAACTTGCCCATAGTATTCTTGACCAAAAGGGGTTTTCTTCTTATTCCTGCCTATATTCCTACGAATACTTTTTTCTCTAAAGATTTCAAATTCATAAAAATACTCAAAACGGCAGGCCCATAGCGAAACGTTCAGGGCCTCATTTGTTTGGTTTGGTATCATATGTCGATGCATGCCATGCATGCTGTGTTTGAATCCCTGTGTTCAACTTTCGTCCGACTTTTTCCTATTGTTCTATTGTCTCTAATGACGTGCACTGCACTTCATGTTCAAGGGCTTCATTCCACCAGCCATGATTAAGTTCTAATAAATGGCTGCAAAGAGTCAAAAATTAAACTTTGCTTTGGAAATTTGTGGGCTCGGCCCTTTTGCCACTGCGGGCAATGATATCATATTTGACTACAGGTTCTATACTTTTGTACCCTAAGTGAATATGAGGGGGAGAGCTGCAAATTGCGTTTGGCATAAAAGCTGAAGCCAAAGTTCCAAGTTCTGATCAAAGTGTAGCAAAAAATTACTATATCAATCGCGGCATCCAGGCTTTTTAGTTTATGGAAGACTTTCATTTCATTATGGCTTATTAGCAGGGGGTACGGAGTTTGTGCATAGCAACACCCTTGGTTACCAAGCTTTACGTTTTAGCACCCCTCAGAATAATTTCTAGATCCGCTCCTGCAGGGGGTAGCTTCCAGTACCTCCAGGATCAACGTTCAGAGTTTTTCAATAAACTTTGACTTTTCCCCAAACCACAAACTTTAGATGGAGAATAGGTGGTCCTGAATATGCCGACATTTGTCATTTGAAATGTTGGGGGACATTTGGCCCTCCATGACACCCATAGTGCTATCTGTACCTATTTTGAATTCCTGAGGGTTTTTGGGTGATACTTCTCCGGTCTTATCCTCGTCTCATTCCCACTGCTCTGCTTTGGGAGCTTTTAAAACCAAACCCGACAAAACTCTGCCGCATCCTCCGCACCACACTCCTCTATTGACGACCCTGCTGAATATTCGTACGCTGTTTGGAAAGAGTGGTATACCCCTCGGTTTTACGCGTGTTTCTAATCAGGGGCGGATCTAGAGCAAAAAATGTTCAGAAATTGATGTTGAGAGTACGTTGTATACAACAATTTCAGGCCCTAACTACTGACAGAAGGCTCTCTGTTCACGTTCTAAAGGAAATTTTTACAGAAACTGTGCCAGATCGTTTCCAGACTTGCTTCAACTCGGTGAGGGAGGGGCAACTGCCCCTACTTGCCCCGCCTTAAATCCGCCACTGTTTCTAATATTCAACAATTCAGCATGCGTCATTCATTCGGATAAAAGATCACAAGCTAATATTTCTTATCTTTGAGCAAAAATTAGGCCAATTTGAGTAAGTTCTTGGAAAAGGGGGTTTGTTCAAGGTCTTGACGTAAGCTTCGATAGCCTATGAGCAAGCACCGTGTACCAGTCTAAAAGTAGATGGGCTGAAATGGGTGTGACCGAACATTTTTTTAGGCACGCCTTTTAGAACGCTTGCTTCCTCAACTTATTCCTTTTAAGCAGTCCGATTCAGAGAAGATTACAATTACTATGAAAATAGATTAGCAAGATAAGAAGCCAAAGAAAATGAACAACAAAGGGTTCCCAGTCAGGAAGAACTCCTACAACTTAGGATCCGTTGGAGGAAATTTTTCAAAGTTCCGCTAGAGTAAACTTTCAAAAAAATTTCGAACCTATTATTGCAAAAAAGTAGAGGGGGCCATAGCACCTGCTAGCTAGGTCAATGGTTGTGCGGTGCCTACCTAGGGGTGAGTAAGTTTTAGTTAATCAAGTCCTTAAAAAAGCCCAAAAGTAGAGGATTGCTTTCGAAATTTTCAGGAGTCATCTTTGACATGTCTGTAAACAATTAGTGGACATTTCACATAATTAGGTATTATTCCTTTGAATTAGCTATATATTTTACCACCTTTGAGCAACCAGACTCTTCATCATTATCCCAGAATGCACTGTAAGCCGAAATCAAAACATGAGCCTTCCCAGAATGCAAGTCGGGCCTCGAGTAAACACCTCATGTTGTTGTTCTGTTGCAAAACCGGCTATCGATCACGCTGTTGAAAAATGGCTTGTACATCTCCTGCAAAAGATAGCGATGCACTTGCATTGCTTTTGTTGAAAAACGAAAGATCCACACCAACGAAGTTAACGTGGTCAAATGTTACCCCGATCGCGAAACTCGAAGGGCGAGAGTTCGAATATCTTGTTCGCCAAAGTCGGATTTGGGTTGGCAGGAACAGCAGCCTCGGAGATGTTGATGTAAACATGGGACATTCGAATTTCATATCGCGAAAACATTTAGAAATTGTTTACGATGCTCCTGATTTTTATTTGTCGACGAAAGGAAAGAATGGAATCTTTGTAGATGGAGTATTTCATAGAAGAGGATCAGAAGCAATAAAGCTTCCAGATAGGTAAGTTTGAATGACTGCGCGAATATTTGCGAAGTCTTGGCCAAGACCACGCCGCGTGTCTGTTAGTAAAATTTTAGGGCTTCATTTCTGCTTGTCTCTAAACCAGTTTTTAATGTTAAGACCGGTTTAAATAGTTGTGGGAAGTGTGATATAAAAATGTTGTAGTATTTCGTTGTAGTAGTACGTTGTGGAACAAAACCCAAAACGACATGTCAACGTGTGATCATGCTCAGGAATACAAAACAGCATGCTAATGTGATAGTCCACTGCGTAGTCCTACTTTGTAGGGTGGTTGTAAACAATATAATTTGATTTGAAGGTTAAACCGGAAAGTTATCCTACTCGTTGACTTTAGCACGCTTTTCATCGAAGCTATCGCAATTGCAATTTATTCGAATTGCCAGACGAAGGAACGACGATCTCTTGAACGTCCAACATCACTGGAATTTCTTCTGGGGAAAACTATCGATTACCTAGTGTCTTCTGATACTGTTAGGTGCTTCACCAAAGCTGTGTTTTACTTTGCAACTACAAAAATAACAACGGAATTTAAATTTTTCAGTCCAAGAATTCCCTCCAAATGAAACAATTGAATGTTACAACATATTTTGAAATAGGTATTCTTATCCATTTTCTTACCATGTGTATTGTTTTGAATCGTGGAAGCTTTTCGCGTTATCGTTCACATGAAAGTTTGTTTGGTATTGATGTTTTTAGAATAAAGTGGCAAGCTGCAATTAACCAGAAGTTAAGTCAAAAAAGTCATTTAACCTTTCAAATTTAAAAGTGATAACTAATTTTATAATATTTTCATAGGTTATTATGTAATTTGTAAAATTAGTAAAAGAGTGAAAAGTATTTTAATCATAACACCTTACAGAAAAAAAATTTGCAAATATTATGTGAAAGCAAAACAACAACTTTTTGATTGCTGGTATTTTGTTGTATATAAAGTGTCATAGATGCATGTTTTGCATTAAATTTCAATAAATATTTTTGAGACAGAATGTTTCACACATACAGAGTGGATATGGGAGAAAATGGTTTCAGTTTGCTAATTGAAGCTTTGGAAGTTTTAGTTTTTACTTTTAGCATTGAAAATTCAGAGAATATTTGCCAGAATGTGCTCATTCTCTGTATTGGAAAAAGCGCCAATGGTTATTGGAAAAAGCACCAATAGATGTAGCAAATAAAGAAACACACATCATCATCATCATCATCATCATCATCATCAATCTAGTTTTGATCCAGTTTTTTCCACTTTAAAGTGGATGGCTAGATGTACTTATTCCCTGAAACAATTTGTTTCACTCCTTTGGTCCATTACTCTCGATGCCGATCAGCACATTCTGTAAACCATATTTCTTCATTTCTTCTTTCATTTGCTTTTTTCCAAGACTTTCTGGGTCTTCCTCTCTTTCCTAGACCGTCATTTCGAAAAGTTAAAACCTTTCATAGAACATAATTGTCTTGTCTCCTCAGGACATGTCCATACCACCATGTCCATGGACATGTCCATGCCCTCTATTTGCTTTCACTAGCTTATCCACTGTTTCTTTCAAGCCTAATATGTTGTCAGTTTGGCTGGTCCATAGCATAAACATACATACACGTATATATCAAATAAAGTCATAGCATAAACACTCAGATAAACAAATAAACAAGATAAAATATATATTATCAGTCCTTTTGCTTGATGCTACCCTGTGTCTTTGTTTGTTTTGCAAAGAGTGTGTTCTGGGTTTTTTCTTTGAATTGCAAATAGATCAGAAGTAGTTTAATTTTCGGATCAGAACTGGAGTACATATGCAAAAGTAGCCCTTTCAACAGGGAGTGGAGGAGGGGGTTCAGAATCCTACTTTTCAAACTTCCTCAATATTTGCCAAAAATGCAAAGTAAATGCTGGGGATGGGGGTAAGCAATCAGTTGCATCTCATCTGCATAGAAGGAAGAGTGTAAAGAAAGAGGCCCAGGGGAAAACCTAGAATTGGAATGCTAAACTGAGTAATGAATGGCCAATGTAGGAATTGTAAGCAAACAAGCATGCATGTAAACAAGCATGTTCAATTCATATACATTTGTTGAATACAAGGTGAATGTAAAAATGATAAAAGGAATCTTTTCATAATTTTGGTCCCCAGAGAGCTTGTGCTTACAGACAGAAGGTCACTAAAAATATATCAAGGGAAGAAATTAATAGAGGCTGGGAGAGATTAATCTGAACACTAGAGACAGTGAAAATTGATCTAACGTTGTAGCTAGATCAAATTTATAATGATTAAAATTTAAAGGGATTTGACTCTAGTGAACTGAAAGTGTGTCTTATTACACTGCTAGAAACCTTGTGTTTGTAAGTATCTTCTTTTCATGCAGTGTATACTTGGACTCTATATAAATGGTCTGAAAATTTATGATTTACCTTATTCAGGCCTTTTTGTGAAGAGACTTTCATAAGGCCAACAAACTGCCTGCGTGGATGAGCTTGCAAGGGGGATCACCCACCAACAATATTAGTTGAAGCAGGAAGTCTTCCAGTGCCTGGGTCTTAGCTTTGTTTTTCTAAATGTGAGATTACTGAAAGTTTTGTGGAAAAGCTTGACCTTTAGTCAGAAATACTTCTTTTCACTGATCTTCAAGTCTCTTGTAGGTGAGAAATGTTTTTGCCAGGGATGTCAATAGCCTGTGCCAAAAATATGGGAAGGGTGTTGACAAGGGCTAGGGCTAGGGCTAGGGCTAGGGCTAGGGCTAGGGCTAGGGCTAGGGCTAGGGCTAGGGCTAGGGCTAGGGCAAGCACTCACATGAAACTGAAAGGCCTGATCCTATTCTTTGTTCCAAATATGTTTTTAAAGTAGACTGATAGCCATGTGACGGAATTCTATACTTTTAATTTCCCCAGTAAGAAAATATATGAGGCTTTAAAATGTCTCCATTTAACATCTCCTTAGCTATGTTATCCGGATGAATAGAATCTACATCATCCACTCTCCACAGAACATAAATTAGTGCTTGTTCAAAACATTTTGCAATAATTTTGATGATTTGGGGCTGCAGGCAAAAGTAATGTTACTTGATATAGGCAACCAAACTCTAAAAACATCAGAGAATGGGAAGAAAATAGTTCTAAGGAATAATTTTTCAAGATACAAGGGCTAGAGGGATTCATTGTGTTTATTTTGGAATCCAACCAAAAATGAAGGTCAATGATGGTTGGCCGCATTAAATTTAGGTTCAAGTATGTAAGTCTGTGCAGTAAAGCTCTGTTTACAGTCACAGTCTGCCTACAGTCAGAGCTTTTGGAGCAACTTTTGTTGTGGCTATGGGCAGGGTCTAATGTTTCTGAAGTCATAAATAGCTTTGGCCAGTGTCATAGCTTTCTTTGGTCATGTATGTAATTATTTTTTTGCTAATGTCAAGTCATTAGTTCATACAATTGTGTTAAGAATTGGAATATCAAGTTCTAGAAACAAGACAGGTTTTATTAAAGTAATACGTTGATGTACATTCATAAGGAAGTCTTTTCATTTACTATGTCCAACCTTAATTTCTTTTGAAGGATTCTTGATACACATAGGTATCACCACAATATTGAAGCATCTTGGTGCAAAGCTTCAAACAGCACCTTGAAATAAAGCCATCAATTGACAGGATGTTGCTAGACATTTGTTGCACAAGAGGGTGGGAGGGTATTGGATGCGGGTCAGACACTGAAACACTCATATTCAATTGCACCCACACTAATTGCAAAAATCAGTATAGAAAAGTGGACTTTTGCTGCCAGAACTTCTTGGGGTTAAAAAAGTGGCTAAGTTAAGATTTTGCGCCCTATTCTGCTTGCATTTTTTGTCTGTCAGGAATTAATAAAAACAGATAATCCTTAATTCTATTTAATTCTCAAAAAGTATTGTCTTATCTTTTCATGCTTTTTGTTTTAGATGTGTGCTGCGGTTTCCTTCAACGAACATCAAGATCTGGTTCTCCTCTTTGGTTGATGACTCAACCCCACGACGAGTACCAAGTCCCCCTAGACAGCGCCAGTTGGCACCTCTCAAGATTAACATCCCAGAAGCTGATTATTCATATCCCTCCCCTTTGCCGTCTCCAACTGGTACAATAAGGTAAGTTTTTTGTTACCTTGCAGCATCAAATTAACACCCTTAATTTTTCTCCAAAAATTTTCCAAACAAGGTGCTTTTGTGGTACGGTCAGGAAAACTTTAGCTTCTGAAAGAAGAAATCAAATATTTCCAATTTTTAATATGTTTGTTAAGTTTCCAGCAACAGGAATATGGCGAGGTATTTTCTTAAAGGCTCAACTACTGCAAAAGCATGAGGTTCGAAAATATAAATGCTGGGGGTCTGGAATAATGATGTCATGGGTAAAGTTTTTTTTGAAAAATTGATGGCAGGGGTAGACGTTTTTTGAAGGTTTGCGAGTAACTGGTAATTTGCTAAACAAGGGAGAGGGGCTTTCATAAAGAAGGGGACTAAGTATAGTTTTTAAGGTAGTACTGTTAAAGGTGAAATTTATTGGATTCTGGTTCCATGTGCATCTTTATAGTTATTGGCTTGTGTGAAGCTGACTATGGACCCTGAAGAGCAGAGCACGCATTTAAAGATTTTATTATTTTGTTTTGTTTTTGCTTACTGTGCATTTTGCAACTAGGCCTAACCTGTAATTTCCAGTAGGGTAAAAAGAGCATCGATTGATCTTTGATTTTAGTGTACCGAATTCATGCCCAACCAGTCCGAGAAATGGAAGTAGTTCTATTTTCAATACTGATGTATTGAAAGCGGCGGCAGAATCTGCCAGCGAGAAACCAAAAGAAGATGAGCAAGAGTTAGAATCGAGCGATGAAGCAGGGACTCCTACTACGCCGTCTCCAAGTGTGCTCACAGAAAAGCTGAAGAACCCAGAAGACAAGCCACCTTATTCGTACGCACAGCTCATTGTCCAGGCGATTACGTCAGCACAGGATAAGCAGCTCACTCTGAATGGCATTTACCAATTTATTATGAAAAACTATCCTTATTACCGCATTGGAGACAAAGGCTGGCAGGTACGATTTAGGCCATTTTTACTCTATTCTGGGTAAACATCATATTAATATATTCTGCTGTGGTCCTTTCCTGAAGTTTTATAATGCTGAACTTTTTATAATGCTGTTAAGACATGTCATTTTCGTAACGTTTTTTTGTTCGTTACGTATTGTCGAAATATTAGATTGTCAATAGTAGAATTTTAATGCGCTTGTATTTTAACTTTTCATCGTTATTATTTTTTTCTACTGTAAAAAAATCAATTTTAGTAATAATAATAGCAATTGTGCCTCGCTTCGATTCAGAGAAATCGACGAGTTCAGGTAAACAAACACCCCTGTTTTTCAAGACATTGTTTTATTTGTGAAATTTTAAGCCAGCCTTTGTACTTGTGGGTTTTTTGAAAGAAACCCTCTAGAGACGGATGATGAATCTTGTGAAGGGAAAGAAAATAGATATTTGCAGAACAACGCAAGTCCACCAGAAACAATCGACCATGAGAAATAGAATATGTAGAAGAATAAACTTTGATCTGAATATAAACCAACTTTTGGAAAACCAGTTGATCTCATCCTTAAGGCGAAATATCTGCATATCGTAAAATTTGATTTACTTCTGTTTATTTATACCAAGAGTAACGTAGGACCTGAATCTAAATTCTAGAATTCAATAAGACACAACCTATCGCTAAATCGCTACTTCATCAAAGTGCCTCGGTCTCAAGACGAGCCTGGAAAGGGATCCTTTTGGCGCATTGATCCCCTATGCGAGGGGAAGCTGACTGAGCAAGCATTCAGGAAGCGAAGACAGCGTGGTATGCCATGCTTCAGACCAATGTTTACGCTGACTTCCAGGTGTGTTTTGTAGCTATCTGTGGTAACGTGGTGATCTGTTTAGCTTACCTACTGGCGTGTTTTCTTATCTTGTTAGCTTACCTGCATGAAGCTGCATTGCTTGATTTTAAACATGATTATATGTTAAATTATATTTTAGATAGGCAAACAGCAGCGACGCTATGATTAAGAGTTTTAGAAAGCATCAAGATATCAGTACTAATATATGATTATTTATAAAATATACTGTTTGTGTTTTAATTCTTTTTTGTTTCTTCGGTAGAGGAACATAAATAGCGATGAACTGAATCAAAATATATACATCACAGTGCAAGTTATGAGCGTTGCAGTGTAGAAATTGAAATTTTGGTCTGCTTTGTTAAGATAGTTATGAATCTGACAAAGAAGCAATTTTTATGAACAGCGAGGAAGCTTTCTAATTGTAACCCATGTGGCACTTTATCTTTCAACCCCGATAATTATCACTTCAAAATGAAAGAAATCCGAAATTCTTTCTCAACTTTAAGTTCTCTTTCTCGATATTTGAAACAGTGAAACAGAAAAACCTTAAATGCGCACAGTACCTAAGGTGGCCTGAAGGTCATGACATTCAAATTTGACCTCACGTCTTACATTTCCTTTGGTTTTCCGTCTTACATTCTTTTTTGTCATTTTATAGGTCTGCTCCTGCATCACCCACTCATGGAATGATGATGCCACCACCATTTGTACCTGTCCGCACTCCAGAAGAAGGCCGATCTCCCCATTCTTCATTTCCTGAGGGAACAGAGTCCCCTAAGCCAAAAACAGTCAAGCCAGTTCCAATGGCCGCCAAAGCAAAGCCTGTGGTTGATGCTGCAAAGTCATCTAATCTTGGAATAAGCTCAGCTGAAAAGGTGCCGCTCGGCCTTAATACCATAGTGATTTCAACCCAGCAGCAGCAACAACAGCAACATAAACCTTCAAGTGGGGTCAGCGTGATCAGGCCCCAGTCTTCCAGTGCTCCCGCACAAAATGGGTATTCGAAGGTGGAAGCTGGCCGTCTCGCTCCGTCCAATGGTAATACGCTGCTTGAAAGGAAGCATGTGATCACAAATCCCAAACAGGAAATCGAGCGTATTCAAAGTAACTACAACGGTAAGTTTTAATTGGTTGCCTTTTGCGCTAAACAGCGGTTGATATTATGTGAAATGACGTCAGATGCAAATACGTCTATGTTTAGCAAGTCTCATGTCAAACAATTTTTTATTCGGCTGGGCGTTTCATCCATGTCTCCAAATTAAAAGAAGACTTAAAGGCAGAAAGAATGATGTTATAAACAGATGCAATTTTTCGAAAAAGATAAAGAATGCAAGATAAGTAAAGACGAGAAAGCTAGATATTGTTTTAATCATAGAATAAGAATTATCAACATAATGTGATATTTGTGCAAAACTCTATTTTTTCCAGGCCAGTCAGCAATGTCAGTTCATCTCCCTGCATCTTTTCGACAAGCTCAGTCAAGTCCAACCGGGATGCCTAATCGCATTTTGTCAGAGTCCAGTGCAGAAGAGCGTAGGGATTACAAAGTAAATTTGCTCAATAGTTTTGGGGAAAATCCAGAGAACTCTTTTGGAGATTCGGAAAATTTGCTTAAACGTCCGGTCGCTCAGAACTCTGTTATGTCATCGGAAGAAAATGCTGCTAGTCCCAGTGCTAAAAAAGTGAAAATTGAAGATAGATTTAATGAGAAATCATAGCAGAGAGGTGGTTTTTAAAAAGACAACAAGCTGGTTTGGTTTCAAACAAAACGGATACTATAGCATGTTGTGCACATATATTCAGTTGCATGGAACTTGCACACCACAGTGTATGCCCATTGTATGTCCACAGTGCTTGTATTTACTCACTGCTTGCGAGGCGATCTGTCCGTGACGTATACAGTGACACTGTGAGCAGCGTTCTGCGATGTACTGTGGAGCAGCTGACTGTTGAATTGCGGTGGAAACCAATGTCTTGTTCTTGGAAGAGATTTTTGTGAAAGCGAATTTTGTAAATGTAGAAGTAGAGATCAAGCTGTGCTACTGGCCAATAGAGCTTACCAACTCAAGCAAACTGTTTTCAAATACTAAATTTATCATCATGATTTGGACGCTAAAAGATATACTGTTTGATACTGCGCTTTAAATTTGTGTCGAAAAAGGCGACACATCTTCTGTTTCTCAATCTTATTTTAGGCCCATGACTACAAGGTGGCAGTTTCCCGTGGTGTTATTGTCCAATGTTAGTCCACTGATAAGCCGCAGCATGGACGTTCTTTCGAATGCATGCGTTTGATTTTTGTGCAACGTAACCAATTTTATCAACCACCATTTTAGTGTTTTTCCGATAGAAAGTCTTGTGTTGTGTCCGTTATGTACGTTAGAATTACTTATTTTGATTTGTTAAGATTTCAATCAATACAAATTAAACAAGGGATTCTTTATCTCTTTTGACCCAACTCACAAACAAGGAAGTCACCCTATAAAGAGGGATAAACCCCCTGGATTCAGTGAAATCACTGCTTGTCAGTGTTGCATTTGGAACCAAGTAAATATTTAGTTTTTGAGAGACTAAACCGTACGTTTTTGACTGACTGTGTGTTCCTGGTAAAGCAATTGAGATATTTCATCCAAGGCATTTTTGGGTAGCTTACATGCGAGATTTTGAAAGCTGGACGCCGAACCGCTTTTGAATCATTTTTATGTAAACATTTCTGTACCAGTTATTAATCTCAGTAAAGATATTTGCTTTTATTGTATTTTTTGACAGATTCATATTAAATGTACGGATCTTTCAGCCAACATCTTATAGCAGAATCAGGCATTCTTGGAAAAGTTTGTAAGTCAGATGATTGATTGATAGATAGGATATAGACGGATAGGCAACAGGTAATAGGTGCATGATGCTTATTGTAAAAAAGACAACTTGTCATTGCATGTGACCCATTATTGATATATCTGTTATCATATATGTAAAAGTCTATATGACATTTCACAATCTTTATTTTGTATGATGATGTATTTTTCCTGAAAACTGCGTTATGTCTCTCGTTGGTATTGAAACGTGTAGAGGTGCGAACCTTTCTTCTTGGTAGAGATTTTTTCGGTACTACTAAGTGCAAAATGCCAAGATCAGTATTGATATCTAAATGTTGTCAGGGAACCATGTCTGGTACCCTTAGAGCCCATAATCCAGTATGAATCATAGAAACAGATAATATTGTCTTTCCCATTGAAGAAGTGACTTCATATGTTATTTGAGTATCCTTTTTCTCGTTGCATTTCGTGACACTGCTAGCATGGAGCTTCCAGTTTCAGAGATGATGTTATTGTATTGATTGTTATGTGAACGTTACCGTAGTAGAACAATTTCGGAATTTTCAGTGACCGAAACAGAGTAGGTTACTCTATTCTTCTTATCTCACCAAATCTTTAAGAAATTTGAAATGTATTTTGAAGTGGTTGTAATTCTGTAGTCAACTATTTATGATTTCGTGATATTAATGACGGTTTATCTTACAAGTTTATGTCTTGAAGAACTGATTTAGTGTTCAAATCTTTGTTTAGTTTGCCACTCTTTTTTACTTGCCTAACTGTTTTTCTGGCCTAACTGTTTTTCTGGCCGTCTATAATATTCCATTCCACATGGAGGTTTAGAGTTTCCCGGTCAAGATGAAATTTCTAATCTCAGTTTCTAAGATGCTGTTGGAGAATAGTGGTTGGTCTAGCTCAGTAAGAGAGTGGAATATGAAAAAAGAGTATGAAATGACAGTAGAAGAAGTATTAATTGGCTTCGTTTATTGCAACTTAATTTTGACAACGTTCGACATCGTAAGACCTCAAGGAAAACGTTTTGAAATAAGTTCTTCCATTATTTAATTTTTTAATGCTTTTTTATTTTTCCTTCACTGCTTAAAATCTTTTTAAATATCGAGAGGATTACGTTCCAGCTAAATGTTGGGATGGAATCAGACTAGATTCTAGAAGCGTTTCCAAGTCTGTTCGTCAGTAAGGAGAAATTAATAGAAATGAATCATAGAAACAGATAATATTGTCTTTCCAATTGAAGAAGTGACTTCATATGTTATTTGAGTATCCTTTTTCTCGTTGCATTTCGTGACACTTCTAGCATGGAGCTTCCAGTTTCAGAGATGATGTTATTGTATTGATTGTTATGTGAACGTTACCGTAGTAGAACAATTTCGGAATTTTCAGTGACCGAAACAGAGTAGGTTACTCTATTTCTTCTTATCTCACCAAATCTTTAAGAAATTTGAAATGTATTTTGAAGTGGTTGTAATTCTGTAGTCAACTATTTATGATTTCGTGATATTAATGACGGTTTATCTTACAAGTTTATGTCTTGAAGAACTGATTTAGTGTTCAAATCTTTGTTTAGTTTGCCACTCTTTTTTACTTGCCTAACTGTTTTTCTGGCCGTCTATAATATTCCATTCCACATGGAGGTTTAGAGTTTCCCGGTCAAGATGCTGTTGGAGAATAGTGGTTGGTCTAGCTCAGTAAGAGAGTGGAATATGAAAAAAGAGTATGAAATGACAGTAGAAGAAGTATAAATTGGCTTCTTTTATTGCAACTTAATTTTGACAACGTTCGACATCGTAAGACTTCAAGGAAAAAGTTTTGAAATAAGTTCTTCTATTATTTAATTTTTTAATGCTTTTTGATTTTTCCTTCACTGCTTAAAATCTTTTTAAATGTCGAGAGGATTACGTTCCAGCTAAATGTTGGGATGGAATTCGACTAGATTCTAGAAGCGTTTTCAAGTCTGTTCGTCAGTTAGGAGAAATTAATAGAAATGAATCTTTGGGTCACGCCAGTTTAGGGACACAACTGCCCCTCCACTTAATTCGGCAGGACTAAAAAAAATTATCTCAAAACTCGGATATTTTTGTACAGGGAATATAAGGAAAGGTGACTTCAAACTTGAAAAATTCCCTGCCACTCATTTTTCTTTGAACCCTGTTTAGGATCACTTTACCACTCTACTACGACTTGATAGGCACGCCCTGGTTCTTCTGGTGGTAACAAAGATAAGAAGGACGAAAAAGGAAGTCTTACCTGCTGGTTAAATTGGTGAAATTGAAAATTTTATGATATGATTGAGAATTTTTGTATGTGCAAGACAGAATGAGAGAAATCTATATCACTAGTTCATTTGATTTATACTCCACTGGCATTTACTTAACTCCTGAAAAACCTTAGAATAAAGCATAACTCCTGAAAACATTTTTATAGGAGCAACTTTCGCGCTGAGGCTAAATTTTTCTTTGTTTTCGTTATTAGTGGACCGTGAATTTGTTCGAAGCGAATTACTAAAATATTTTCCCAACCATTTTAAATTTTTTTGCGGGAGAATTTCCCCGAGTTGCAAATATTGGAACATCAAGTTTTTTGATTGGCCACAGACTAGGGGTAATTCGTGGCCTAAGTCCGTAGTATTTGATACAAGCTTGAATGGTTATAAATTTCTTTTGATATAAACAGGTAACCTCAACAGGGTTCCTCATTGAATTCAGTTTTTATTTACAGTTTTGCCTTTCTGGCTGTTAACAAAGCCGTCTTTCTTGATTGTTCCGACCTGTTGTGCGTCAAGCCGCACAGACAACAGGTAGGGTATTGCTTCTGTCTACACGTTTTGGAAAAGCCCAACTGCAGACTGTTTTGCGACAAGATGGCAGGTTACAGCTCAAAAAAAGCCGTCCGATCATTTGGAGGCCCTGATGAAAGTGCCGATGGAGAATTTCTCATCACCCAGTCCCATCACATGGCTTGCTTTGGGGGGAAAGTTCACGTCTCAGAAATGATCAACCACCGTGTGAAGATTTTCGATGTTAGTAACGGGAATCTCCTGAAGAGCATTGGTGAACTTGGATGTTTTGATGGTGAATTTAATGTTCCTGGAGGTATAGCACTGTGGAATGACAGCATTGTTGTTTGTGATGTGAATAACAATCGACTCCAGACTTTCGATAATGATGGAAACTTTGTCAGTGAGTTTGGTAGCCAAGGGGATGGGCCTGGTTGTTTTGCAAACCCCTCTTCGGTCTGCGTTGATCCAGAATCCCAGACAATATTTGTTGGCGAGGCAGGCAACACAAGAGTTCAGATTCTTGACAAGGATTTCAACCACAAGAGTTTCATACCAGGGCCACCATTCAAAAGTTGCAATCATATCAGCTACGATGGAGCCAATAAACGAGTAATAGTGACCGATCACGAAGCTGAAAGTATATCTTTCTTCGATGCAGAAACTGGTCAGTCTGTATCTAGCCTGACTGGGGAGGGCCAAGAGTTTAAAGGTGCATTGAAAGCTATCGCTGACAAGTCTGGCAATGTTTTGGTATGTGAATATGGCGAGAAAAAGGTTGTTGTATTTGACAAAGATGGAAAGAAAGCTGGCCAGCTTGCTGAAGGCTATGACTTTAAAGGACCAATGGATATCTGCATCAATGAGAATGGAGAGGTTGTCCTTTTGGAGGGTGACATATTTGCTGGATGGAACAGAGTGACTGTTTTTTGAATTAGCACATAAAATTTCAACATTTTCTCAAAGAATTGGGTAGATTGGTTTGTGCATGTAGTCTGTTTACACTCACTAGGTTGCTGTTTCTCACCTATTTGCATCAGTATTATTGAAATTAAAAATAAAGATTAATTCAAAATGAACATATTCCTTCAAACTACCGTTCTCTTTGTCAAAATACAAATAAAGTCAGTTTGTTGAAAGGGAAAACTTTATTCTAGAACCAACATTACATGAATCATTTCAGGGCTGATGGAGCTTGTAGGGCCATTGCCCCTCCAGCCCCACTGACTTTCCATTGTTTTAAAAATAGGTTATTGTCTAGTGTCCTCCTCTTTTCATGAAAAAGGGAAGAGTCAAAGATTATCGTCTTTCTGTTAAACCTATCCATTTCCCAATAAAATGCAGCAAAGCAAATAGGGAAGGGAAACAAGTAGCGGAAGAAAAATACCAAATGATGTTTATAAAAGTTTTATAGGAAAATAACCCTCTATAACTGAGTTCAATTTTCTTTACGAAAAAGAGTGAAGAAATATTGATGCAGTGTGATTTACTTGGAAAATATTAAGTTGCTTGCGTAAAAAGAACAAAAAAGAAGGAAATATCAGTCCTCCCCTCATGAACTGCAAGTCCGGGGAAACCCCGCATAAGAAATCGAGGCTTGTTCCTCCTCAGTATAGTGCGCTGCGAGGACCTTGTTTTCCCTTTTTCCTTTCGATTCCTGGCCTGAAGAGTTTCTAAGGCAAGTGATTCAAATACCTGACTATATCATTGTCATCTTTTCTTGCTTTAATAATCTCAGCTAACTAAAAGTTTCATGAATGACTGTAATTTCCATTATGACTTATTTGTTTATTTGTTGTACTGTATAGGCTTCACAGAGCTTCCTTTTCCTAAACGGCCTACGAGTCCCTCGTAAGAGCACATAATTAGAATAAGTATAAGTAATGGGGAGGATGGTTGCAGATTTCTAATCAGAGAGTTAGGGTATTATGCTGCTTATATCTATGACTGAGATATAGCTCAACAACAATGTTAGTTTTACTCTGCCTGCCGCTATTGAGCATTCGTAAACGGCTTCATCAGACATGAAAATTGATTTTGGTACCCCTGGCCTTGACGGTGTCCATTTGCATTCAATTCTCTTAAAAAATAAAATTTTGATATATCAGTGAAACCTTTAACAATTTATTTTATTTAAGTGAATTTCCTTTAATCTTTTGTAAACTTTGTTGATGTCATCACGATCGAAGCTGCGCATGTTGTTGTTAAAGCATGGTATAGGTACAGTCAAACTCGCGTAAGTTGGATTGTCTTTTGATACAAGCACTACGGCATTTCCCTAATTATAAGGGTTTCTCTTCTGCTAGCCTAAGCCAGCATTTCTTCTGCAGATTCCTGGTTGACATACCTCAATGCATAGCAGGACATTGAGAGACTCGTGAGCTTCTGTGCTTGCATTTCATCACCCTCCTCATCTGATTCGATTTCGTAGGAGGTTCTTCTGACAAAAAATCGATGATTTCGGTGTCAGTTAATGACTCTATGATTCCTACCTCGTTCTTGTCAATCTTGACATACTCAGCAAACAGGGTTCTGCTGTCTGCTCCTATAGTGTCAGCTAATATGTCCCAAATATTTGCAGATATGGATAGTTCATCATTGTCATTTTCTTCAACTAAATTCCGCTCAGTTTGCATAAAACCACATTTTTGATAGCAATTCTTTATGGTAAACTCTTTGACCTTGTTCCAGCTTGATTTGATTGCAATCATAGCATCAAGAATGTTCCATTTGAAATTAGTGTCAGCTTCTGCAGCTCCTAAATGACGGGCAGCCAGAATTTGGCGATAATGCAGCTTCAAGTTCTTTATGATGCCTGTATCTATAGGTTGTGTTATGCTTGTCATATTGGGTGACAGAAACGCCAGCTCTGTATTTGAAAGTTCAACTTTTGGATGGGCTGAGCAGTTGTCTACATTGAGAGCAATTATTCACTTTTCCATTCTCATCTTCTGGTTAAGCTTTTGCATCCATTCTGTGAACAGGGCACCTGTCATCCAAGCTTTGATGAATATTGGAGAGGCAAGCACTTGACATTCTTGAAAGCTCGAGGCTTTGCATACTTTCCAAGGACATAAAGCGGCAGTTTCTCAGTCCCATTCATGTTTGCCCTGACCAATACTGTGATGCGTGTTTTGGGTTGTTTTCCTCCATGATTCTTCTGGGTTGAAAATCCTAACGATTTATTAGTAGCATCTGCCAAAATAAACCTGTTTCATCAGCATTGAAAATATTTTCAGGCTGATAGCGCTGCAGAATGTCCTTCAGCTTTCCCTTCTTCCATGCATCTACATCCTGCTGATTTACACGGGCTGCTTCTCCACTTTTGAACACTTGTTTGATGTTATGTCTTTTCTTGAAACGGTCAACCCAAGCCATGGAAACTGCACTTTCATAGCCAAAATTTTCTGCAAATTGGTTTGCTTTAGCAAGAAGCATATCACCATTAATCCTAACATTGGGTAACACAATCTTTTGTTGAAACCAAACCAGCAAAGCTTTGTCTAACATTTCAAAAGTTATGGATTTCAAACGCTTACCAATCTTGGCTGAACGATCGGATCTTCCATGGCTTTCATATTTTTTTCTTTTGATTTGATTAGGTCTGAAAGTGTTTTGGGTGAAATTTTGAACTTTTCTGCAACATTTTTTTCTTTACTCCAGTGTGCTCTTCAAAATATTTCAAAATATGGAACTCTTCTTTGTTAGTTCTGGTACTCAATTTGCGTTTTTCATCTTGCCCGTTACTTGAACTACCTAACACTGAGGCGAGGCACTGTTAAACTGCATCCTTTAACCCTTACAGTTATTTCAAGACCAAAGAAATTATTAATTTGCTGCCCCTTTTCTGGACAGGTGTTCCCCGCATGTTTCGGAATCCAGAACATGTTTCCAAGGGGGTCATTGAAAACAAAATATGATTTAAGTGATGCTATTTTCATAACAGGCCTCAAAGAAAGCCCTGACTTATGCAAAATATGCCACTTATAAAATCTGACTTATGGAAAGAGATGTAAAAGCATTTATACTAAATGGACTGGGACCACGCATTTTTTTCCAAGTTGAGAAATGTCCGACTTAAACGAGTCCGACTTGCACTCTACTTTGACTGTATGTGTTTTTTTACTTCTAGGCCATGCTCTTATTTGTTATTAGTGATTTGTTATAGAAAAGACGCATTTTGTTCAGGCATTCTTAAGTTTTTGTTAATGTTATGGAGCATTCATAAAAGTTTAAATAAGGATTTTAACATGGTCACCAAACTAATGGGTAAATAGTGTTTGGCTAGCGAACTCTTTCAACTGAAAAAATTGGCCGTTCAGGTAGTTTTTTATAATTTTCAGCAACTTTTAAACATTTCCAACATGATGATGCTCATAAAGAAATTGAACTAAACAGTGTAGAAAGTCTTTCTTGAATTAGATTTCTGAATCATGCTGTTCATTTCAATGAATTTTTTGTAGGTAATAGATTTCACAGTTCTTGGGCTACAAAAATATTGTTTTTCTTGATTAGTGTTACATGATTTTACGATGAAATACGTGTTCCCTTCCATCTGCAGCTCCCTCAAAAAGTTCCTGTTTTGAGAATGACTTTTATTTGTTATTCAAATTACAGTGCATACTGGTAACAACGGTTAACATAATTCTATACTGGTCATGTTTATATATGAAGAAAATAATCTGAATTATTTTATTAAATAAGGATTAATTTTTCAGAGGCAGGGACAACAAAACATACATCATGGTAAGTAAGCAGTGTTCTTTGTTGAATTGGTGTCATCTCTTAAAGTAGTAGCCATTTTTGTTTTATGTATGCTAAAATTATTCTTTGTAATTTAGTGAAAAGTGGAGTAATGTCAAAAATAGTTAAAGGTGAAGTGGTTAAGAAATAATTTTTTATTATTATAAAATATTAATATTTACAATGTATTTAAATGTTTGGAATTCATTCTTTTTTACTATTGACCTGCTTTAGATTTGGACCAGAATTAGATTTAGCCCTATGATCCAGAATTAGATTCAGCTTGAATGACTGGACTTGCAAAAAGTGTATATAATTACATATGCAAAACTTGAGGCCTTTTCTTTTATTGCTTTTCTAAAGATTGACTCCCCCTTGAGATGTTTTGTTTTGCAATCACAATCAGTCATATACATGGGGTTTGGTTGTTCACTGTAGTTTGAAAGATAATGATTTATCTTTTATGATGATTTTTTAAGGCCTCTCACCAAAATTAAATAAACAAAGCCTCATGAATAGTAGATTCCTCTATAAGAAAGCCATCAATGGCAGTGCCACAAGGGTAGAAAGGGTGAACATGCCCCATAGTTCTCTGCTAAATAATCTTTCTTTTAATTTGTTTATAAAATGATTCATTGATTTATCAAATTTTTAAAAAATTTTTTTTTCTCAGCCAAAGCAAATTGATGAAATCAAGCAGTTTTTGCTTACTGCAAGAAGAAAAGATGCAAAATGTGAGTAAAATTTTGGAATACATGGAATTTAAAACAGTTTCTTTGAATTTTAAGAATCAAAAGCTCAAGCTAGTTTTTATGAGCAAACTACAGATCTGACCATCTTAATGAATCCTTTACTTTTAACATGCTCAGATGGAATTTGTTGCTGTATTTCTTTTCTTAGACATGTGGTTTAATTTATTATCATAAAACACAAATGTTTTAAGAATTTTTATATGCTGTAAAATATTCAAAGCAGTTTAAAAAATGGTCCATGAGTTTGTATTCCTCCAAGTTAGATTTTTTATCAAGGGCTGTTTTTGACATTGCCTACATAGGTTGTGTAAAATATTTTTGGGATTGAGGACAACATTCTTATCCCAACTCAGTCCTTGGAATATGAAGTTTGCTTGTATGTGAGCCATAAAATGTCAACCTTACAATGTTTATGAAGCCCTGAAAGCCTTTTCAATATAATATATACTCTTGAGGGGTGAATTACTGTCTGAAAGGTGGGTAAGTTTTTATAAACCAAAAAATTAATAGTATTTTAGAAGAATTTTCTTGCAAACACAATTTTTTTAACAAAGTGCATAAAGTTTTTAAAAGAGTGATTAAGGCTGACAGAGATTTA